CCTCCCACCCCCCACCACTCCAGCAACCCTCAGTTTGTTTCCTGAGATTAAGAATTCCTTGTATCAGTGAGATCACATGATACATGTCTTTCTCTGATTGACTTATTTCACTCAACATAATACCCTCCAGTTCTATCCACGTCATTGCAAATGGCAAGATTTCATTCCTTTTGATGGCTGCATAATATTCCATTGTAGTGTGTTCTTATAAAAGTATATAATCATTTTGCAGCCCCTAATGAATTAATAAATCCGAGTGTGAAGCATCAATGACTGATACCATGATAAGAAAGGAAACAGCTAGACATATTCCTTCTCATGAAAGAATAAAATATGCCAAATGAATTAAACCTGAGTCTGAAAAAAACCCTTTGGATCTTGCTGCCATTTTGCAGGATATATAGAGAACAGAGGAATGTATTGTTCTACACCATAAGTTTGCAGTCAGCAAAATCCAGACTGGAAAATTCTATAGGCCAAATGTCCTGGATTATTCAACAGATAAATTGCAAGAAAAAGAAAGGCATGACGTGGAACTATATAGGTTAAGAGAAACATGTAAGACACATTTGACAATGCATGAGACTGTGGTGTCTAAGGATGTATGTGTGGGTGATAAGATTATAAAGGAAGATAAGAAATTGATTTTATCGTGAAAGTGTAGATAGTGGCTACTTTGGGCGGGGGGGAACTAGTAAAAGAGCTGTGATTGACATGGGGCGTGTGGAAGGCCTTCAGGGGTGACTAGTAACATTCTATTCTGGACCTGAGCAGTGCTTATGAAGATATTTGTCTTATAATGATACATGAACTCATACATACATTTGAGTGTTTTTTGTATATGTTTTATACTATAATAAAATGATTAAGAGATAGGGAGGGAAGGAGGGGAGAAAGAAAATGAGAGAGAGATAGAAAGACTGATTTAAGATATATAACAACTAGTTGCAATGTATGGACCTTAGATTGTATTTTATTCAGACAAACTATAAAACAAGTTATGAGAAAATCAGGGAACTCTGAACACAGAATATTGATAATACAATGAGTTATTACTTTTTAAATTGTGATAATAATACTATAGATATGCTTGCAGAAGACAAGGGTCTTGTCATTTGGAGATTACACATAGAAATCTTTACAAGTGAAATTATATAATGTCTGTGATTTGCTTCACAATAATCTTGGGGTGCAGTGAGTGGGTGTAGATGAGATAAGACATAGCCTGAATTTATACTTTAGGCTAGGTACAGGTGATCACTGTATATTCTGTAATTGTGGTGTTCTATAATAGACAGCATAAAAAATTATTAAAAGGATAATATTAACAATTTTACATCAGTAAGTGTAATGCATTTTCCAATTAAAAAATGTATTCTTCTACTTACCTGCAATTGAGTTCTCTCATCTCTAACCCTGTTCACTTTTTCTATACTTGACTACTTCAGACTACTTGGTCTGAAAAAATTAATTTTATTTCCTTATATATTCTGTGTTTTGTTTTGTTTTTCCTGGAATGTCCCCTCTTCTTTCTTTATACAGTTCAAATTCTACCACCTTCATGAAATGTTCTCTCTTCTCTCCAGCTAGAAATATTTTTTCCCTAATATAATCCCACAGCTACTTATTTATGCCTATCTCCATGTCGCTTTTCACTTCCTTTATTGTTTTACTGTCATCCATGTATACATTCAACAGCTGTTGAAGATCAATTGTATTCAGTGCAATATGTCAGGGGTTTGGCAGAACACAGTGACGAATGAGATATATGTCCTACCCTACATAGTTCCAAAAAGATCCCACAGTTTAATTCAGACAAGTTTATAAATAAGAATTCTTATTCTTATCAAAAAGTAGAATTCTAAGTTCCACAAGAGTGCCAAAGAGAATTAATTGTTGGTTCTAAGAAGAGGGAGAAATGTACACACATGTACCCTATGAGGTTGACTATTTCTTGAGGACAGAGTTGTGGCATACCCATCTCTATATCCTCAAAGATTTCCAGATTTTTGGTTTTTCTGGTTGGATGAATGTTGGTGCTATTAACCAAGATATGAAGTAGCAGGTTTGGGAGCAAGTAATGGGTTTTGATAATGTCATATGAGTTAGAGATGTCTGTGAGATACCTAGGTAGCAGTGACCTGTAGGTTGTGGTTACATGTGTATGGGTCTGGAGCTTAGAAAAAAAATCAAAACTGGAGATCAGAGAATTGGATGCATGTATATG